ATGTGACACACTGGAAATTCTGTGGATTACATTGATATGTGCATAATTTAGCCACTGTAAGGGCGCCATTTACAAACAAAAATCAATCAAATTAAAAATACCCTGATAATACCGATAATTCAAAACCCAATTAATAGAATCAAATATTAAAATAATGAAATGTTTTTACAGTACCAAAAAATAATTAATATTTATGTTGCATTGATATTTATTGTGTTCTATTTATTCATTGCAAATATAAAAATTAAAATAAATAGGGAAATTTTGGGAAACTTAAAATTTAACCAGTAATTTGAAAGAATTACAAATTATATTTAAATATAAACTTGTTGTTGAAAATGAATGCAATTTAATCGTTTTAAACTTGAAACCAAAAATGTACTAAAAGTTCTGATTATTGCCATTGATTATATGTGCATAATTTAGCCACTGTGAGGGCGCTATTTACAAACAAATATCAATCAATAAAAATACCCTGATAATATTGTGAAAATGCTTTGAAATAACTACATGCCATTTTAGTAAATTTGACTCAATGCACAAATTAACAGAATATGAATTTCCAACAATCAAATAGTGAGAATAAAGCGACATCTAGAATTAGGGGAAATTACACAAAAATTAAAATAACATGCTAGCAAAGAAGACATGATGTAATTAAAGGTAATGTTCCTCTTCAAAATGTCTCTAAATAAAACCTAAATCAGGAGAAAGGAAAAACATATCACCTATACACTGTGTGATAGCATTACAGATTTCTTTGATTTGATCTGTACACTGAAGGCAGTCATCTGCAGCATGGACATTCACCACCACAGCATAGTCGCTGTACAATGATAGTATGACTTATGTATTCTCTGCAATTTCCTCGATTGCTTGGTGCAAGATGACTCACAGCATGAAAACTGTTGTCCCTAAGGGCAGATATCTTTGAATCCCATACAAGCACAGTGTTTGTCAACAACAAGATATTCTCGGGCAGAACTATGTCAGAGAATGTTCTACAATCCAAGACACACACCACTATACTATGTATATTTCTATGGACTTGACACAAGCTGCTGTGGAACACAATTTGAAGAGCAGGTGAAAACAGCTAAAGTTGAGGAAACAGCACAAACTCAACTTTAAAGGAACCCAATAAATATGTTGCAAATATATGTAATAGATGTAATTCATTCTATAAGGTTGTAATAAAGAATTATCTTATCTTATCTTATCTTATCTTATAGGGGTAATCTAGTTACACTGTTTATGAGAGTCTCAACAACTATCCAAAGGTACATTTTTCTGAGAGTTTTCAACCTTTGGTTTCATCGTGATGGTTGCCAGGCGGTAAAAATGCCTGGATATCTGTCCCTGAGAATAGTTGAAACAATGCATTGTCGGTAATACAAAGAACACTGAGGTTGCAATTTTGTTGTGGTCTATAGTAACTGTTAAATTGCAAGTTTGTCCATATTATTTTCCATTTTGTTTTGTAAACAGATTTTTTTACTGAGCAAGGTCAAGGGAGCATGTCCGTTGTACATAAATTTAATCATCTTAAAACAAACCTGTTGATCTTCAAAGGAATATGTTATTTCCTGAAAAGTGAACACAATACATCGCGCAAAGTTCAGTATAGACATAATATTACTTCCTTTCATGAAAGTGCGGACCAGGACATTGGTTAATTATAATCTTTACTGATAAAGATAGCAAATATATGTATTGGAAATTACAGGTAATCTTCCTAGAGTGTTCCTGGATACACTGATTTTTATGTTGCATTATGATATATCAATCTGTCACAAATTGCAAATATTCTGTATGTTCAATTCTCACTTCAAATATAACAGCTGATACAAGGAGCCAGATATATCATGGTTTACATTATCTGTTTTTTGTTAGCTCCGCTGTCGACTTTGTCGAGCGGAGCTTATCATATGAGTGATTGTCCGCCGTCGTCCATCTACGTCCGTCGTCGTCGTCGTCCGTGTCAATGTTTTACTTTTTTGACTTCTTCTTGAAAACTACAAGCCTGAATGCTTTGATACTTGGTGTATATGTACCTTGGGCAGACCTCTCTTAGGTTTGTTCATTTCATGTTGATATCTTCAATTCTCTAATTTTGGTGAATATTTTTGTCATTTTTGGTAAAAAGTGATATTTTCGACTTCTTGTTAAAAACCGCAAGTGCAATTGCTTTGATATTACATATATAGGAGGTACTACATGTGGACCTCTCTCAGATTTGTTCATTTTGTAATGATATCTTTAATTCTCTAATTTTGGTGAATATTTTTATCATTTTTGGTAAAAAGTGATATTTTCAACTTCTTGTTAAAAACCGCAAGTCCAATTGTTTTGATACTACATATATAGGTAATACATGTGAACCTCTCTCAGATTTGTTCATTTCGTGATGATATCTTCAATTCTCTAATTTTGGTGAATATTTTTATCATTTTTGGTAAAAAGTGATATTTTCAACTTCTTGTTAAAAACCGCAAGTCCAATTGTTTTGATACTACATATATAG